CTCACCAGGAGTAACTGGGATTGGGAGCCTGCTCACCAGGAGTAACTGGGATTGGGAGCCTGCTCACCAGGAGTAACTGGGATTGGGAGCCTGCTTGGCTTTGCTAAAAACTCTCTCTGTTTTCAGCCAATGAGGAAGGAAACAGGAAGCAAATGGCTGACTGAAACAATTAGTCTGATTCATAAATTACTGAAATAATCGTCAACTAATTTAGTAATCTATTAATCGTTATCTGGAGTATAGAGCCTGTAAAACGTGCCTTTAGCTGACAGAGCGACTCACTTAGAACAGGAATTATAGCAAGATTGTAAATAAAAAAAATATATAAATACAATTTGCATTCAAGATGAAAATTGTTTTTTAATCTGATCTACAATCCAGAACTCCTCAAGTGGGAAAGTTTTAGTTTTACCTGGTTTAATTTTTAAAAAGTCTTCTTTAAAGAATCTGTTGTTATCCGATTACATTTAACTGAACTTTATTGATCTCACATTGGAGAAATTTTCCTCTGCATTTAACCCATCCTCTTGGGGAACAGTGGGCTGCCATTGTGTGGCGCCCGGGGAGCAGTGTGGAGTTAAGGATCTTGCTCAGGGACCCAGAGTGGCAGACTGCGGGATTGGGGCTCAAACTCAGAACCTCAGGATTCCAAGCGCTATGCCGTAACCACTAAGCCGCCACTCCCCATAATTATTAATTGATCAATCAAAAAAAAAATTGACTGATTAATCGATTAGCAAAATAATCAGTTTAAACTGTAGTTCAAACTTCTTCTTGGACTTTTCCTCCTCTGCTGCTGAAATATTGATCTGCTGGGCTCCATTACTTTCCTCGTTTACTCGCCATGTGCACAACATCGCGAATCTGCTCAGTCGTGTGACGGGAAATGCAGAACGATTAAACACAGAAATAAACAGTATAATTCAACAGGGCCTCATCACTTAACCAGAGCACAGATGGAAGATCTGGAGTCAACAGGTCATCCCTATATGGGGCAGACTGGACTCAGCTGCTTCAGTGGCTGGGCAGAGATGGCTGGATGACTCCAGAGCATTCGTCTGCAACCAAAGACGGCTGCTGGCATAGAAATCACTGCCAGGCCGCTGCAAGTCAACATTAGTCTGGGATGGGAATAATTTGAAGCTTTATTGTAGATTGCAGGATTCAGAAATGTTGCAATGAAGAGCTGATAGTAGCGCATAGTGGTACGGAACCGCTATTATATTAATTCACTATGGCCTAATCTGCAGTAGGGCTGAAACAATTAATTGAATTAATCAGATTAATCGATTATGGAAATTATGGTCAACTCATTTAGTAATCCATTAATCGTTAACTGGAGTATATAGACTGTAATTCATGCCTTTAGCTGACAGAGCGACTCAGAGAAGGAATTATAGCAAGATTGTAAAAAGAATATGGAACATTTAGCATTTAAGAAAAAAATAGTTTTTTTTCTCTCGATCTGCTCTATCCAGAACTCCTGGAGTGGAATTATTTTAGTTGGACCTGGTTTCCTTTAGTTAAAAAGTCTTCTTTTAAAAACCTTTGGCTATCTGATTATTAATCAGTTAATCAAAAAAATAAACGTATGAATTCAGTGATAAATAAACTTACCGATTGATGGACAGAATGGATTTGATTGAGCTGAAGATTGCTTCTCTAATATCCTCCTTTAAGGTTCCTTTGGCTTTAAGGATTTCCACAAAGAACTACAAGCAGCAACAAAGCAAAGGAGGGAAAGAACACCAGTTAAAACCGGAGCTGGAACCAACAGGAAGGTTCTCTGAACCATTTGATGGATTTAGATCAGAAATCCATCTTTTATTCAGAGGATCTGCAGTCAACTTCCAGTAGCTAAAGGCTTTCTTCCCCAGTTCTGTTCGGGCAAAATGAACAGTGAGCAACAGCTGATGGTTGAATCTCAGGGCAGAAGAAGCCATGCTTTAATGGGGAAGTAAGGTACGAATGTAAGAGGGCAGTAATCCAAGAAGGGCCTCAGCGTACCAATGACTCTGCTTTCTGGTAAGACAGAAGGCCATCCCACCTGAGAGGACAGGTCACAGTGATGTCATGGCTCTACAGTCTGTAATGAACCTTAATGAAGGATGCTAAACAGTGTCCAACATTTGAAGATATGAAGAAGCATTCTTAAAAAAAAGGTCACCAAGGTCTAAGACCAATAAAAATGTGGCAGAGACAAGGCGCTTTTTTACTCCAAAAGAAAAAGAGGACTTATCACAAAAGAAGAACCCAGTTTAAAGAAGAACCCAGTTTAATTGTTAATTTCTTAACAAGTTTATGAATAAAAGGTCTGAAGGTGAGGGAGTCATCAATTCCAAGGTATTTATAATCATGTTCCACCTCAATGACATTCCGCTCCAGAGTGGACACTACTGGAAGGGTTGGAGGCGCCTTCCTATTATTAGAAAACAACATTAACTTTGCTTTGTCAGCATTAAGAAATAATTTAAGATTAATAAATGAATAGTGTACAGCAACAAGGCTTTCTGTAGGGAATGAATAGCCTGTACAAGAGACAACCCAAAGCAATAAATAATGGTATCATCAGCAAGGCAAGACATGAACTGAAAATAAGAGCAGGACACGTAAAATGACTCCTAATGAGAGGGAAGTGCTGCAGACTAGGGATGGGCGATATGGACAAAAAAATTTATCACGATAATTTCTAGGTTTTACCACGATAACGATAAGTGACGGTAAAAAACAAAACAAAAACACAATATCAGCCTGATGTATCAAACCAATCAAACAAGCCTGAAATATGAGAACAAGTTTCACATTTATTTAAATGCTACACAGCAAATAACTTGGCTTATAAAAGTTG